CAGAGATATGTCACATTCTCCTCTATGGGCAAAGAGCAGGTAAAACAAAGTAATCACTTGAAATAGTTGAGCTTCCAGAGATTATGTCATGGTGGTCTCTGTGGTCAGGGTTCAAGCAGGAGACTCATGTCACGTTGACTGTGCCCCAACAATGCGTCACAATGTTTTCTGAGAAGAGGGTCAAAAAAGCAATGCTACTTTGGTATTGGGCCCGGTGATATGTCATTGTCTCCCATGTGAGCAGGTATCAGGCAAGAGAAGGGAATCACATCACCTTAGTTATGAGCATAGACATGTCACAAAGCCCCAGGTAGGCAGTGCCAAGACAGAATAGTGTCACATCACCTAGGTGCTGGGTCCAGTGATATGCCACAATCACATGTGTCAGCTGGGTCCCAACAGAGTCAAATCACTCAAGTGCTGGGAGAGGTGTATGTCACAATAACATCTGCAGGAAGATCTGGGGGTAAGATTAACAATTCCATACATGTCCCAGTTTTAGGTATAAAAGTCAACATGTCCTGAATGTTGAGTCTAAGTACATGAGTCACAATCTCAACAGTGCATTGATCAGAGCCTCTATTCTGCCTGTAAACTTTGTCTTCTTAGTAAAGTCACCATCTCATGGGTGTGCTGAATCATAGTGTGGGAGTGACTAACCTACCTGTGGACCAGATCTGTGTGTGCAAGTCAATTTTCCAACGTTTGACCGCCTTCCGGTGTAAGATTCAGAAACTCTACGGTGGCGTGTGATGCCACCAGCTAAAGGGCTATTAATGCACAGAAGGGTTGTTATTGTAACCATCATGGTTTCTGTTGTTTTTGCCTTGCTAAGAATACATGCATGGTTTATAGTTGTGCTAGAAAACCATAAGGGTTTTGGTTAAATTACCTGTTGTTGTATGTTATAAAGTAGACATAAAATTGGCCAAAATAGATTAAAATTCTACAAACGTGAAGTCAAGTTTCTCTTGACTCCAGAGAAACTTGGAGGCTTAGGAAAGACAGACCTGGAAAAAAAACTAATAAAAGGGTAATCAGAGAAATTGCAACCAGTTGTCCTTTATCTACCTATGACCTGGAAGCTCCCGCCCTACTTTGTGTTGTCCCTTTCTGGACAATGTACCTCTTACATATAGTGATGGATGTCTCCTGTCTCCCTAAAATGTATAAGACTAACACGTGCCCCAACAACCTGGGACATGCATTGTCACAACCTCCTGACACTGTGTCGTCTCAGACACTTTGGGTTCAAATTAGTAATTTCAGGTAGAAATTACAATTCTTCTTAAAATATAACAAACATAAGGACTAGTTAAAGAGAAAAACTAATAAAAGTGTGCTCAAGGCTGGACACTGGCTCACAACTCTAATCCCAGCACTTTGGGAGTCAGAGGTGGGTTCAAGACCAGCCTGGCCAACACAGTGAAACCCCATCTCTACTAAAAATACAAAAATTAGCCAAGCATGGTAGTGCGTGCCTGTAATCCCAGTTACTCAGGAGGCTGAGGCAGGAGAATCACTTGAATCTGAGGACAGAGGTTGCAGTGAGCTGAGATTGTGCAACTGTACTCCAGCCTGGGTGACAAGAGTAAACTCTGTCTAAAACAAAACAAAACAAAGCAAAACAAAAACCCTAAAATTTACATGGTACGACAAAAGACCCTGAATAGCAGAAGCATTCAAGCAAAAAAGAAAGGCTAAATGTATCATCGTACCTGACTTTGAAATATACTGCATAGCTATAGTAATGAAAACAGTATGGTACTTGAACAAAATGAGTCACATAGGCCAATGGAGCACAAAAGAGAGATGGGAAGTATATCCATGTATTTAAATTAAAGCTAACTGATTTTTTATATAGGTGACAATTTCTTAGGAAAATGAGAGTATCTTCTATAAGTAGTGTTGAGAAGACTATAGCCACATGCAGAGCAATGAGTCTCTCATCTTACTCCATATATATAATCAACTCAAAATATATTAAATACTTAAATGTAAGGCCTGAAACTCTGAAACTACTACAAAAAATATAGACTGAAAGCCCCATAACATTGGTTTGGGCAGTGACATTTTTTTACTTAACCTCAAAATCCCAGGGAACTAAAGGAAAAATAGATGAGTCAGATTACTTCAAATTAAAAAGTTGCTGCACAGAATCTGGTATAATCAACAAGATAAATGGGAGATTTTTGCAAATCATACATGTGACAAGGGGTAAATGTCAAGATTATGTAAGAAAGTGACTATACAATAAAAAAAAATTACTATGAAAAATGAGCAAAAGGCTTAAATATATTTTTTAAAAGACATACATATGGCCAAGAGATATTTTAAAATGCTCAATGTCACTTATTATCAGAGAAAGGCAAGCCAAAAAATCTATGAGATATAAAGTCATTCATATTAGAATGACTCTTATTAAAAAGAAAAAAGTGTTGGTAAAGACGGGAAGTAAAAGGAATGCTTGCCACACTGCTGGTTTGAGTGTAAATGAGGACAGCCAGAATACCGAAACAGAGATTTCTCAATAAATTTAAAATAAAAATACCATATAATACAGCCATTTCACTATTGGACATATGTATTTAAAAACAAATGAAATCGGAATGAGAAACATTTGCACTTCTATGTTGTTTGCAACACTCTTCATAATAGCCAAAATATAGAATCAACAGTTCAACATCTAATGAGTAAATGCCAACAATGTAGTGCATATACACAATGGAATACTATTTATCTTTTAATAAGCCAGGAACAGAAAGAAAATTTTATGATTTCACCTAAACATGAATTATATAAAACTTAAATTCACTGAAGTAGAAAATAAAATTGTAACCACCAGACACCAAGGTATTTAAAAGAGGGCTTTAGAAAGATGCTTGTCAAAGAATACAAAATTATAGTTAGATAGAAGTAATATATTCAAAAGACTTTTTGTACAGCATGGTGTCTATAGTTAATAATAATGTAATTTTGAATAATGCTAGGACAATGTCATGTGCTCTGACCATAAAAATGTTCACTATGTGAGGTAAAGCATTAATTACCTAAAATTAAGCATTTGACAACATATATATATACTTCAAAACATGTTTTACAGAATACATGCTTTATCTAAGTTGAAAAATATATATTTAAAATATTATATAGAAGGATATCGATTTTTTCAAATACTGTCTTTGTCATTAACTTGGCTAAATAGCATCAAAAATACAGTTTTGTGCTGTCTTGTCATTTAATGTTTGAATCATAACCATAGGAGCTCTGACATTTAACAGCACGTTCTGAACTCAGTACAGTGCATGGGAAGAGCCAATGTACATTAGGGCTTTTATTTTAAGCTTAAGACAGCAGGAGGTTCTGGTGCTAATTGTAATGGTATGAAAGACATTAAAAGGGCAGGTGTTGTTTATGGTCTCAAGACTAGCCACTGTTTGAACACAGTAAACAAGTTTGCATGCAAAATAACAGGAAATGTTTTAATCCGAAAGCCGTTATAACCTCATCTCCAAAATTTTTCCAGAGAAAATGACCAAAGAGTTGCCTACAGTGAGTTGACTAAAAATAAAACTGTAGACTGAACTTCACCCACTTCAAAAATTATATGAGTGAAAACTGTCTCAAATTGTAATATCAGTATGAAAAATAGTTATTTCATTTCTAATCATGATACATTTTATTATTTTGCAACATTATATACACTTAAAACTGGAATCTCTGAAAATAAAAATAAAAACTGTAGACTAAGACCACACACTTCAAAATTATATGAGTGAAAAATGTCTCCAAATTGTAATATCAATATACTTAAAATGAGATATTTCAAATTTCTAATCTTGGTATTTATTATTTTGTAACCTTAACATTACTTAAATAAGACTCTGTGTAAGTAAAGTTTGTAGGCTGGGACAGTGTCACCTGTAATCCCAACGCTTTGGGAGCCGAGGCAGGTGGATCACGAGGTTAGGAGTTTTACAAGACCAGCCTGGCCGAGATGGTGAAACCTCATCTCTACTAAAAATACAAAATTAATGACCTGTTATTCCAATGCTCAGGCTATGGAAAGCAGGAGAATGGCAAATTGCAGTAAGGCAAGATGGCTTCCGCTGCACTCCAGCCTGGGTGACAGAGTGAGACTTGTCTCTGAAAAAGAAAAAAAAAGTTCCCTTTTATGTCGTAGAAAATTAGAGAACAAGAATTTTGACTTCAAAAATTATATGAGTGAAAAATGTCTCCAAATTGTAATATCAACATGAAAAATAAAGTTATTTCAAATTTCTAATCAACAGAGTACATTTTATTATTTTGCAACATTTAACATTTACACTTAAAAATAAGACTCTGTATGAAAATGTAAGTTGTAGGCTGGGGACAGTGGCTCACGCCTGTAATCCCAGCACTTTAGGAGGCCGAGGCAGGTGGATCACGAGGTTAGGAGTTCAAGACCAGCCTGGCCAAGATGGTGAAACCTCATCTCTACTAAAAATACAAAAATTAGCCAGGCGCCTGTTATTCCAGCTGCTCGGAGGCTGAAGCAGGAGAATGGCAGCAGAGGTTGCAGTGAGCCAAGATAGCACCGCTGCACTCCAGCCTGGGTGACAGAGTGAGACTTCATCTCAAAAAAAAAAAAAAAAAGTTGTGCTATGTCGTAGAAAATTAAATTTAGAATTTTTACTTACCATTAACTCTCTTATAATTTCTAAGATATATTTTGTAATAAATCTTATGCTTGCCACACTTTATGTAAGAATTCAATAAGATTCTTCTTTTACAAACAAAGAAAAACAATGCTAACTGATTTAATTCTTTCACATGTGGACAGTGTATGCCTCTCACTTTAATTAACTAATCTCAAAGTTATATTGGTAAGCAAATTCTCCACTCAAAACCATTTTTTTAAGCACATTAAAAATACCAACTTTTGGCCGGCGCAGTGACTCATACCTGTAATCCCAGCACTTTGGGAGGCCGAGGCGGGCAGATTACGAGTTCAGGAGTTCGAGACCAGCCTGGCCAATACGGTGAAACCCTGTCTTCGCTAAAAATACAAAAGTTAGCCGGGCATAGTGGTGTGTGCCTGTAGTCCCAGCTACTTGGGAGGCTGAGGCAGGAGAATTGCTTGAACCCAGGAGGCGGAGGTTGCAGTGAGCTGAGATCATGCCACTGCACTCCAGCCTGCGTGACAGAGCGAGACTCTGTCTCAAAAAAACCAAAAACCCACCAACTTTCTCAGCAGAACCTACAAAGTACCATGTAAAATAACACGGTAGGAAGACAAGTGAGAAAACTGTAGCTGTAACACAGAAAAAGGAGAAAAGCTGTGATGCATACATCCTTGAAATGAACATAAGACAAACAAAACTGAAGATAATTAAAAAATAAAGAAGTAGAATATGTCTTTAAATTCAGCAAGAGTGAGCTTTGCATGCTGGAAATAAAAATGTCCTCTCAACATGAGGAATCAATGTAATTTCTTCTCCATTGATATTTTCCATTCTGACTTAAAGTTACAAACTAACTCCAGAAGGAATACTTACGGCTTATCACAAAGCATCTACTACACAGCAAGCACTGCTATATTTGCTTGCTGGATTTATACACAAAAACATCCTCTTGACTTATGGAACTCTCCCTAGTACTTACCTGAACAAATTTGCTCAGTAAATAAATAAATTAACTTATGACAATTTTAAAAATGGAGAGGAACAATAACTAAGTAAAAGTGAGCTTATATGGGGTTCTCCAAGTAAAAGAAACAAATGGAATCTTCTAACTAAATAAAATATAACTTAATACACTAATTGTGGAATTACATCTAAAGATCGTTTTGTGTACACTACTAAATTTCATAAAAATTATTCTTATAATCCATGACATAATGTATACTTCATAAATTATAAAACAAAAAAAAATGTAAGAAAAAAGAAAAGTATGGGTCTAGCACGAGTACTAGCCAAGTAAAACCAAAGAAATTTCAAGGGAGATTCTTAACCATAAGATGTAAGATTTTACAATAATGAATTCAATACAAACCAGAGAGTATAGATTTGCTTTCCACATTTTTGAGGTTTTTGGTTTTCTAGTAAATTAGTCACTGTATTATAATAATTTGTTTTGTTCTAACACTTTTTTCTGAAAATAGGTACAAACTCAGAATTACACAAACACACTTCATAATTTTCTTGCACCTAAATACCTTTAGAGTGATATATGTGTATATTTAACCATATGTAAATCAAAACTAAAAGTCTATATGTATCTGTTTGCAGGCATAGTGGCCACATGTTCAAAGAAAAATACGTAACACATTATTGTTTACACTCCTGTATGATTTTTATTATGACCACAAAAATGACCTTATAATAAACAATTTAAATGTACATTTCAAAATAATTAAAAGTGTAGATTTGGATTGCTTGTAATTCAAAGAATAAATGTTGAAGATGGTTAATCTCTCATTTACCCTGATGTGATCATTACATATTTTATCCTGGTATCAAAAATATGCCATATATGGCAGAAATATATATACACACTATGTATCCACTGAAGAAAAATGTTTAAGTTTGTCAAGGTAAAAAAATATATATATACTACAACAACCCTCTTTACATTTGTAATGTTTGTCCTCAAAAGAAATACTAAGACATATATTTTCTAAAAGATAGTCTGACAGTAATTGCATTTTTAATGTTTCTATTAAGTATAAACTGTGATGTTAAGATGTTAGCAGATATTAATGGCTTTTCCACATTCTTTATAGGTGTACTTTTTTTTCAAGTATAAATGCTTTGCTATGTGATAAGGTGTATTGGTTAAATGTTTTGCCACATTCTTAAGGAGTTTTCTCCAGTATAAATTATCTTGCAATCAAATGTGACTACCATTTAAAGGCTTTGTGACATTACTCATGTCTAGGGTTTCTTGACACTACGGTTTATGTTTAGAGAAGTTTAAGGTGTTCTCAAGAGCACTGTCATGTCTTTTGGATTTGTAGTTTATCTCTAGTATGATTTGATAACTTATTAAAAACTTTGCCACGTTCTTCACATTTGTAGAATTTCTCTGCAGCATAAATTATCTCATGTGTAATAAAGGTTGAAATGTTTTTAAAGCTTTTGTCACATTCTTCATATTTATAAAATGTATCTTCTGTATGAATTATCTTATGCTTAGTAAGAGTTGAAGATCACTTAAAGACTTTGTTACATTCTTCACATTTGTAGGGCTTTTCTTCAGTATGAATTATGTGTGGAAAAGTGTGAGAAATGGTTACAGGTTTTGCCACATTCTTCACATTTGTAGGGCTAGTTTCCATTATGAATTATCTTATGTTCAGTAAGGTTTGAGGACCAGTTAAAAGCTTTGCAACATTTTTCACATTTGCAGGGTTTCTCTACAGTATAAATTGTTTATTAAGAATTGAAAAATGGTTATAACATTATTCATTTCACATTTGTAGGGTTTCTCTCGCATTGAATTATCTTGTTTAGTAAGAGTTGAGGACTGGCTAAAAGTGTTCCCACTTTCTTCACATTTGTAGAGTTTTTCTCCGGTATGAATTTCCTTATGTCTAGTAAAGTTTGAGAACTGATTAAAAGCATTGTCACATTCTTCACATTATTATAGAGTTTGTCTTCAGTATAAACTATCTTATGTTCAGTAGGGTCTGAAAACCAGTTAAAAGCTTTGTCACATTTTTTATATTTACAGGTTTTCTCTTTAGTATTAATTATCTTACGTTCAGTAAGGTTTAAGGACCAGTTAAAAGCTTTGCCACGTTCTTCACATTTATAGGGTTTCTCTCTAATATAAATTATCTTATATTCAGTAAGATTTGAGAACCCGTTAGAAGCTTTGCCACATTCTTCACATTTGTAAAGTATCTCTCTAGTATGAATTATTTTGTGTTCAGTAAGTTTTGAGAAACACTTAAAAGTTTTGCCAAATTCTTTGCATTTGTGGCATTCCTCTCCAGTATAAATTGAGTAAAGTTTGAGATGGTTAAAAGCTTTGCCCATTCTTCACATTTGCAGTGTTTGTCTCTAGTATGAATTATCTTATGTTCAGTAAGATTTGAGGACTGACTAAAAGCTTTGCCACATTCCTCACATTTGAAGGGTTCCTCTTCCATATGAAGGGTTCCTCTTCCGTATGAATTATCTTACGTTTCGTAAGATTTGAGGATGGGTTAAAAGCTTTGCCATATTATTCACATTTATGGAGTTTATTTTCTTTAGGAATTCTCTCAGTTTGAGTAAGAGCTGAGCAATGGTTAGAAGCTATGCCACATTTATTACATTTGTAGGGTTTTCCTCCAGTATCAATTACGTGTATTTAAGGTGTGAGGACTGGTTTTCCACGTTCTTCATATTTGATGGGTTTCTCTTCAGTATGAATGGTTTTCTGTCTAGTAAGGTTTGAGGATTGGTTAAAAGTTTTGCCACATTCCACATATACACCATGGAATACAATGCAGTCATAAAAAAGGGTAAGTTCATGTACTTTGGACAGACATGGATGAAGCTGGAAACCATCATTCTCAGCAAACTATCATAAAAACAGAAAACCAAACACCACATGTTCTCACTCATAGGTGGAAACTGAACAATGAGAACACTTGGACACAGGGCGGGGAATATCACACACTGGGGCCTATCAGTGGGTGGGGGGCTGGGGAGGGATAGTGTTAGGAGAAATACCTAATGTAAATGACGAGTTGACAGGTGCAGCAAACCAACATGGCACATGTATACCTTTGTAACAAACCTGCATGTTGTGCACATGTACCCTAGAACTTAAAGTATAAAAAAAAGTTTTGCCACATTCTTTACATTTGTAGGGTTTCTCTCCAGTATGAATTGTTTTATGTCTAGTAAGGCTTAAGGACTGGTTAAAAGTTTTGCCACATTCTTCACACATGCAGGGTATTCTCTAGTATAAATTATCTTATGCGTTTTAAGGTTTGTAAAATGGTTGAAAGCTCTGCCACATTATTCACATTTTAGGGTTTCTCCCCAGTATGAATTATCTTATGTTTAGTAAGGGTTGAAGGATGGTTAAAAGCTTTGCCACATTCTTCAGATTTGTAGGGTTTCTCTCCAGTATTATTTTGTCTAGTAAGGGGTGAGGATTCCTTAAAAGCTTTGGTACTTTCACCTTTGTAGGGTTTCTCTTCAATACGAATTGTTTTATGTCTAGTAAGGTATGAGCATTGAATAAAAGCTTTGCCACATTCTTCACATTTGTAGGGTTTCTCTCCAGTATGAATTGTTTTGTGTCTAGTAAGGTGTGACGACTGGTTAAATGCTTTGCCACATTCTTCACATTTGTAGGGTTTCTCTACAGAATGAATTATGTTTAGTAAGGGTTGAGAAATTGTTAAAAGCTTTGCCACATTCTTCATATTTGTAGGGTTTCTCCCTAGTATGAATTCTCTTATGTTTCCTAAGGGTTGAGAAATTGTTAAAAGCTTTGCCACATTCTTCACATTTGTAGGGTTTCTCCCCAGTATGAATTATCTTATGTTTCATAAGGGTTGAGGAATTGTTAAAACCTTTGCCACATTCTTCACATTTGTATAATTTCTCCCTAGTATGAATTAGCTTATGTTTCTTAAGGGTTGAGGGATTGTTAAAATCTTTGCCACATTCTTCACATTTGTAGGGTTTCTCCCCAGTATGAATTACTTTATGTCTCGTAAGGTGTGAGGATTGCTTAAAAGCTTTGCCACATTCCTCACATTTGTATGGTTTCTTCCCAGTATGAATTATCTTATGTTTCATAAGGGTTGAGGAACTGTTAAAAGCTTTGCCACATTCTTCACATTTGTAGGGTTTCTTTCCAGTATGAATTATCTTATGTTTTCTAAGGGCTGAGAAATGCTTAAAAGCTTTGTCACATTCTTCACATTTGCAGTTTCTCTCAGTGTAGATTACCTTATGTACAGTAAGTTTTGACAACCACTTAAAAGCTTTACCACATTCTTCACATTTGTAGGGTTTCTCTCCACTATGAATTATCTCATGTTTTCTAAGGGTTGAGGACTGGCTAAAAGCTTTGCCACATTCTTCACATTTGCAGGGTTTCTTTCCAGTATGAATTACCTTATGTTTCTAAGGGCTGAAAATGCTTAAGCTTTACACCCATTCTTCCCACATTTGCAGATTTCTCTCCAGTATGAATTACCTTATGTACAGTAGTTTGGCTTAACCATAGCTTTACCACGTTCTTCCCACATTTGTAGGGTTTTTCCCAGTATGAATGATCTTATGTTTCATAAGGGTGGAGAAATTCTTAAAAGCTTTGCCACATTCTTCACATTTGTACAATTTCTCCCTCGTATGGATACCTTATGTTTCTGAGGCTGGGAAATGCTTAAAAGCTTGCCATTCTTCCACATTTGCAGGGTTTCTCTCCAGTATGAATTACCTTATGTACAGTAAGTTTTGAGGACCACTTAAAAGCTTTACCACATTCTTCACATTTGTAGGGTTTCTCTCCAGTATGAATTATCACATGTTTTCTAAGGGTTGAGGACTGGCTGAAAGCACACTTACATTCTTCACATTTGTAGGGTTTTCTTTCCAGTGTGAATTATCTTATGTCTTCTAAGGGCTGAGAAATGGTTAAAAGCTTTGCCACACTCTTCACATTTGTAGGGTTTCTCTCCAGTATGAATTGCTTTATGTCTAGTAAGGTGAGGATTGCCTGGCTTTGCCACATTCTTCACATTTGTACAGTTTCCTACAGTATGAATTATCTTATGTTTCATAAGGGTTGAGGACTAGCAGCTAGCTGCCACATTCTTCACATTTGTACAATTTCTCCCCTCGTATGAATTACCTTATGTTTTCTAAGGGCTGAGAAGTAACCCAAAGCTTTGCCACATTCTTCACATTTGCAAAGGTCTCTCCCTGCAGTATGAATTACCTTATGTAAAGTAAGTTTGTTGAAGGGCTGAGAAATGCTTAAAAGCTTTGCCACATTCTTCACATTTGCAAGGTCTCTCTGCAGTATGAATTACCTTATGTAAAGTAAGTTTTGATGACCACCTAAAAGCTTTACCACATTCTTCACATTTGTAAGGTTTCTCTCCAGTGTGAATTATCACATGGTTTCTAAGGGTTGAGGACTGGCTGAAAGCTTTGCCACATTCTTCACATTTGTAGGGTTTCTTTCCAGTATGAATTATCTTATGTCTTCTAAGGGTTGAAAAATGGTTAAAAGCTTTGCCACATTCTTCACATTTGTAGGGTTTCTCCCCAGTATGTATTGCTTTATGTCTAGTAAGGTGTGAGGATTGCCTAAAAGCTTTGCCACATTCTTCACATTTGTATGGTTTCTTCCCAGTATGAATTATCTTATGCTTCATAAGGGTTGAGGAACTGTTAAAAGCTTTGCCACATTCTTCACATTTGTAGGGTTTCTTTCCAGTATGAATTATCTTATGTTTTTTAAGCGTTGAGGACTGGCTAAAAGCTTTGCCACATTCTTCACATTTGCAGGGTTTCTCTCCAGTATGAACTACCATATGTACAGTAAGTTTTGAGGACCACTTAAAAGCTTTACCACATTCTTCACATTTGTAGGGTTTCTCTCCAGTATGAATTTTCTCATGTTTTCTAAGGGCTGAGAAATGGTTAAAAGTTTTGCCACAATCTTCACATTTGTAGGGTTTCTCTGCAGTATGAATTACCTTACGTTCATTAAAATTTGAGGACCCCTTAAAAGCTCTGCTACATTCTTCACATTTGTAGGTTTTCTCTCCAGTACGAATTCTCTTACGGTCAGTAAGATTTGGGGACTGGTTAAAAGGTTTGCCACATTCTTCACATCTGAAGTATGTCTCTCCAGTATGAATTATCTTATGGTTAGTGAACGCTGAAGAGAAGTTAAAGGCTTTGCCACATTTCTTACCTTTGTAGGGTCTGTCTTCAGTATGAATTATCTTATGTTTAATAAGGGTTGAGAACCATTTAAAGGCTTTGCCACGTTCTTCACATTTGTAGATATTCTCTCTAGTATGAATTCTCTTATGTTGAATTAAGTGTGAAAGCATGAGAAATGATTTGCTACATTTTATACATTTTAAAGTTTTCTTTTTAGTGTGTCTAACCTTATTTCTATTTGAGTTTGAATATTTATGAAAGACTTTCATGTATTTGTTACACTGAAATATTTTTCTCTGGGTAGTTGTCCTACAATGGTTAAGTTTATTATAACCTTCTTCATGCATCTTACACTCATTGGCACTTTTACAATCTTTTCTTAATTGTAAATTCTTATGTCCACATCTTGTATATGTTCTCAGTATTACTTCTTGGAAACAATCTTTCATGCTCTGATCTGGCCAAAGGTCTTGTGTAAAATGAGAACGCATAACTGGAAGAAATAAAAGTAACAAATTATTCCACTTGCTAGACTCAAATATACTTTACAAATCTAACCTATAAAATTATAAAAACCACAAAAGCAAGATGGCACAGCAAAATAAGACAGGCCCTAATTTCTTCATAGACATATAAATGTAACAAAAACACACTAACCAAAATACATTTGTGGAAAAGTTATAAATGAGTTAAGTGTATAGAGTACCCCAAGTAAGTACAGTGCAAAGAGCCACACAGAAGGAAAGAGAAGTCTGTTACAGTTTCCCAGTGCAGCTCTTCCTGCTCCCCAAAATAACACAGGGACTTTAGAAGTAAATTGATGGCTGGGAATGGCAGCTCACACCTGTAATTCCAGCACTTTTGGAGGCCGAGGTAAGTGGATTACCTGACATCAAGAGTTCAAGACCAGCGTGGCCAAAATGGAAAAACTTCATCTCTACTAAAAATTCAAAAATTAGCCAGCTGTGGTGGCACATGTCTGTACTCCCAGCTACTCAGGAGGGTGAGGCAATCACTTGAACTTGGGAGGTAGAGATCACAGTGAGATGAGATTATGCTAGTGCACTCCAGCCTGCATGACAGAGTGAGACTCTGTCTCAAAAAATGAAAAAAAAAAAAGTAAATTGCCAACTCCTGGTTTACTCTTTAAAGACAAATAAAACAGTGGCACATACATATTTATTTCTGGCTTCTAGGGGCCTTTCTAGACACTGGTTTTTGTCTCTCATGACATAAAGTGCTGAAAGAAATGGTGGCATACTTTAAAATGACAGCTTGAGTCTGCTGAGACCAAAGTTAGATGTTATAGCAGCAAAGAATATATTACCACACACAAAAAAATAGATGTAGCAAGTGATTACTACTGAGAAGAAACATGAGTAACGTTTTTTATCAAAACAAACAAACAAACAAAAAAATAACACACACACACAATTTCAGACAAGATGCATTCTAAGAACATGTTTGACAGACTCCCAGAATCTCTAGCCAAGACAACTGGCTTCAGACTATTCCAGGACAAGGCTACATTATGAAGCTTGCAACAGGTAGCTTTTCTGATGTACAAATTTTAATCAACGATTACAATGTATATAGAATATTAGGACAACATGGCCCAATCAAAAAAAGTATAAAAATTTTAGAAAGCAACCATAAAACAATGAAGATTAATAAATTAATTTTACAATTTTCAAATAAATTATAACACTGAATGAGAGAAACAGGAACACAGACCACTATAAAAAATTGAAAAAAATGAGGATACCTCTTCCCCTAATGGCGTGAGGTAATTCATGGAAATGGCTTGCTATTCACCTAAGCCAGAGAACCCCACAATATCACGCTAAACAAGAGGTTCATAAGGGCTATTCTTACGTAAGACAAAATAAACTTTAAAGCAACCGCAGTTAAAAAAGACAAAGAGGGACATTATACAATGGTAAAAGGCCTTGTCCAACAGGAACATATTACAGTCCTAAACACATATGCACCTAACACTGGAGGTCCCAAATTTATAAAACAATTACTAGTAGACCTAATAAATGAGATAGACACCAACAAAATAATAGTGAGGACTTCAATACTCCACTAACAGCACCAGACAGGTCATCAAGACTGAAAGTCAACAAATAAACAATGGATTTATACTATACCTTGGATCAAATGGACTTAACAAATATATACAGAACATTCCATCCAACAACTGCAGAATATACATTCTATTCAACAGCACACAAAACTTTCTCCAAATAGACCATATGATAGGCCCCAAAATGAACAAGAAATTTAAGAGAATGGAAATTATATCAAGCACTCTCTCAGACCACAGTGGAATAAAAGTGGAATTCAACTCCAAAAGGAACCTTCAAACCCATGCAAATACATGTAAATTTAAAAACCTGCTCCTGAATAATCATGGGGTCAAATATGAAATCAAAATGGAAATTTAAAAAATTCTTCAAACTCAACAACACAAGTGACACAACCTATCAAAACCTCTAGGATACAGCAAAGGAAATGCTAAGAGGAAAGTTCATAGCCCTAAACGCCCACATCAAAACATCTGAAAGAGCACAAACTGACACACTAAGTTCACATCTCAAAAAACTAGAGAAACAAGGACAAACCAAACCCAAACGCAGAAGAAGAAAAAAAATAAAATCAGAGCAGAATGAAATGAAATTGAAATAAACAGACAAAAACCAAAAGAAAAACCTGGCTCTTTAAGAAGATAAATACAATTGACAGACCATTAGCAAGATTAACCAAGAAAAAAAGAAAATCCAAATAACCTCGATAAGAAAGGAAACAGGAGATGTTACATCTGACACCATGGAAATACAAAAGGTCATTCAAGCCTGCTATAAACACCTTTAAGTACACTAACTAGAAAACCTAAAAGAAATGGGTAAATTTCTGGAAAAATGCAACCCAACCAGCTTAAATCAGGAAGAATTAGATACCCTGATCAGACCAATAACAAGCAGCAAGATTGAAAAGGTAATTTAAAAATTACCAACAAAAAAAGTCTAGGACCAGGCAGAATTTAGCAGAATTCTACCAGACATTCAAAGAATTGGAAAGACTGGGCCCGGTGGCTCAGGCTTGTCATCCCAGCACTTTGGGAGGCCAAGGCAGGCAGATCACGAGGTCAGGAGATGGAGACCATCCTGGCTAACACAGTGAAATCTCGTCTCTACTAAAAATACAAAAAATTGGCTGGGCGAGGTGGCGGGCGCCTGTAGTCCCAGCTACTCAGGAGGCTGAGGCAGGAGAATGGCGTGAACCCGGGAGGCGGAGCTTGTAGTGAGCCGAGATCGTGCCACTGCACTCCAGCCTGGGTGACAGAGCAAGACTCTGTCTCAAAAAAAAAAAAAAAAAAGAAAAAAAAAGAAAAAGAAAAACAAAGAATAATTGGTACCAATGCTATCGACACTATTCCACAAGATAGAGGAAGAGGGAGCACTTCCTAATTCATTCTGTGAAGCCAGCATCACCCTAAAACCAGAAAAGGGCATTAACCAAAAAAGAAAACCACAGACTAATGTCCCTGATGAAAACAGATGCTAAAAGCCTTAACAAAACACTAGCTAACTGAATCCAACATATCAAAAAGAGAATCCATGATCAAGTGGGTTTAATACCAGTGGTGCAGGGATGGTTTAACAAATGCAAGTCAATAAATGTGACATACCACATAGAAAGAAATAAAAACAAAAATCACATGATCATCTCAATAGATGCAGAAAAAGCATTCAACAAAATCCCTTTATGATTAAAACTCTTAACAAAACTGGCATACAAGGGATATACATCAATGTAATAAAAGCCATCTATGACAAACCCAGAGTCAACATAATACTGAATGAGGAGAATTAGAATTTGAAAGCAATCCCTCTGAGAACTGGAACAAGACAAAGATATCCACTCTCGACACGCTTCTTCAACAGAGTACTTGAAGTCTTAGCCAGAGCACGCAGAAAAGAGAAAGAAATAAAGGGCATCAAAATTGGTAAAGAGGAAGTAAAGCTGTTACTGTTTGCTGATGATATGACTGTTTACTTTGAAAACCCTAGACTTTTCAAGAAAGCTCCTAGAAGTGATAATTCAGCAAAGTTTTCAGATACAAAATTAACGTATACAAATCAGTAGCTCTTCTATACACCAACAGCAACCAAGCAGAGAGTCAAATCAAGAACTCAACCCCTTTTACAATAGCTGTGAAAAAAAAAAAAAACCAAAAACTTAGGAATATACCTAACCAAGCAGGTAAAAGACCTCTACAAGGAAAACTACGAAACACTGCTAAAAGAAATCACAGATGACACAAACAAATGGAAACACAGCCCATGCTCATGGATGGATAGAATCAATATTGTGAAAATGACCACACTGCCAAAAGCAATCTACAAATTCAACGCAATTTCCATCAAAATACCATCACCATTCTTCACAGAATTAGAAAAAATGATTCTAAAATTCATGTGGAACAAAAAAAAAAGGACTGCATAGCCAAAGCAAGACTAAACAAAAAGAACAAATCTGAACGAATCACATTACCTGACTTCAAGCTATACTATAAAGCCAGTCATGAAAACAGCATGGTACTAATATAAAAATAGGCACATAAACCAATGGAAAATAATACAGAACCCAGAAATAAACCCAAATACAGCCAACTGAACTTTGACAAAGCAAACAAAAACATAAAGTGGGTAAAGGATACTCTTCTTTTTTTCTGACATGGAGTTTTGCTCTGTTGCCCAGGCTACAGTGCAGTGGCACAATCTCAGCTCACCACAACCTGTCTCCCAGATTCCAGCAATTCTCCTCCCTCAGCCTCCCGAGTAGCTAGGATTTCAGGCACCCGCCACTGCACCTGGCTAATTTTTGCATTTCTAGCAGAGATGGGGTTTCACCACCTTGGTCAGGCTGGTCTTGAACTCCTGACCTCGTGATCCACCCACCTTAGCCTCCCAAAGGGTTGGGATGACAGGTATGCGCCACCGCGCCCAGCCAAGGATACTCTTTTCAACAAACGATGCTGGGATAATTGGCTAGCCACATGTAGGAGAATAAAACTGGATCCTCATCTTTTACTTTATACAAAAATCAACTCAAGATGGATTAAGGACTTAAATCTAAGACCTGAAACTATAAAAATTCTAGAAGATAACGTTGGAGAAACCCTTTCAGACATTGGCTTAGACAATGATTTCATAATCAAGAACCCAAAAGCAAATGCAATTAAAACAAAGATAAATTAGGGAGGGTTCTCTCTCTATCTTGTGGAATAGTGTCAAAATGGGGACTTAATTAAACTAAAGCGCTTTTGCAAGGCAAAAGAAACAGCGGAGTAGGCTGGGCGCAGTGGCTCAAGCCTGTAATTCCAGCACTTTGGGAGGCGCAGACGGGCGGATCACGAGGTCAGGAGATCGAGACCATCCTGGCAAACACGGTGAAACCCCATCTCTACTAAAAAACACAAAAAACTAGCTGGGCGAGGTGGCGGGCACCTGTAGTCCCAGCTACTCGGGAGGCTGAGGCAGAAGAATGGCGTAAACCCGGGAGGTGGAGCTTGCAGTGAGCTGAGATCCGGCCACTGCATTCCAGCCTGGGCGACAGAGAGAGACTCCGTCACAAAAAAAAAAAAAAAGAAACAGCAGAGTGAACAGACAACCCACAGATGAAAAAATGCTCAACATCACTAATGATCAGGGAAATGCAAATCAAAATCACAATACAATACCACCTTACTCCTGCAAGAATGGCCATAATAAAAAGAATCAAAAACCAGTAGATGTTGGTGTGGATGTGGTGATCAGGGAACACTTCTACACTGCTGGTGGGAATGTAAATTAGTACAACCACTATGGAAAACAGTGTGGAGATTCCTAAAGAACTAAAAGTCATACTACCATTTGACCCAGCAGTCCCACTACTGGGTATCTACCTAGAGGAAAATAAATCATTATATGAAACAGATACTTGCACACATGTTTATAGCAGCACAATTCACAATAGCAAAATCATGTAACCAACCCAAATGCCCATTGCCCATTAATCAATGAGTGGATAAAGAAACAGTGATATCACATATATAGATAGATAGATAGATAAATAGATATATGATTGAACACTACTCAGTCATAAAATGGAATAAATGAATGGCATTCACAGCAACATGGATGAGATTGGAGACTATCATTCTAAGTGAAGTAACTCAGAAATGGAAAACCAAACATCTTATGTTCTCACTGATATGTGAGAACTAAGCTATGAGGATGCAAAGGCGTAAGAATGATACAGTGGACTTTGGGGACATAGGGGGAAGAGTGGGAGGGAAACGAGGGATAAAAGACTACAAATAGCATGCAGTGTATACAGCTCGGGTGATGGGTGCACAAAACTCCCACAAATCACCACTAAAGAACTAAAGAACTTACTCATGTAACCAAACACCACTTGTACCCCAATAACTTATGAAAAATAAATAAAGTAGTACACAGGTTACTTGAAGAGGAAAAAAAAAACAGAGCTTTCCAAATTTTGATGTAATAAAAGAAAAAAAAAATGCCTTTTTTTTTTTTTTTGACAGAGTTGCCTAGGCTGGAGTGCAATGGTGGGATCTCGGCTCACCACAACCTCCACCTCCCAAGTTCAAGTGATTCTCCTGCATCAGCCTCCTGAGTAGCTGGGATTACAGGCATGCACCGCCATGCCCGGCTACTTTTGTATTTTTAGTAGAGATGAGGCTTCTCCATGTTGGTCAGGCTGGTCTCAAACTCCAGGCCTCAGGTGATCCACCAATCTTGGCCTCCCAAAGTGCTGGGATTACAGGCATGAGCCACCGTGCCCGGCTGAAAAAATATTCTTAATCCATAATACTTGATCAGAAATTTTTTTATTTTGAAAACAATAAAAAACAAAGACTTTCCAAAATGAAAACTAAGGGTGTTCATCAATCACCACCAGCACAGTTTAAAAAAAAAAAAAATGCTACATTGCGGACAGGCACAGTGGTTCATGCCTATAATCCTTCACATTTAGGAGGCCAAGGCAGTCAGATAACTTGAGACCAGGAGTTCAAGATCAGCCCAAAAACATAGTGAGACTCTGCATATATAACAAGAGAAATGCTAAAATGAGTCTTTTATGTTGAAAAATAAAATGATGCTAGACAGCATCAAAAAAGCGTATATAATTATAGCTTTCTATTAAATGTAATTATACAGACATATATAGAAAAAAAGAAATGCTAAAATGAGTATTTTATATTGAAAATAAAATGATGCTAGACAGTATCAAAAATCCATATATATATATAGCTTTCTATTAAATGTAAATATACAGACACAAATAAAAAAAGAAATGCTAAAATGAGTCTTCTACATTGAAAATAAAATGATGCTAGATAGCATCAGAAAACATATATACAGTTTTCTGTTAAAGGTAAATATAGAGCTACATATAAAATTTCTTACTAAAATAATAGTACATAAAACCCTTAAAATTCTTCTAAAGAATATAAAAACAAAATATAAATCTGCAAAAATCTGAATACATAATATGAAATAATTTATAATTTATTTAAATTATAATAATTTATAATATTAATAGCAAACTGGAAAATATAGTTTTTTGTTCAACTAAAGTTATGAAATTAAAACATATTGATTTAATCTTAAGATATTTTACATAATGTCCATTTTTCAAGATAACTAAAAAAATTTTATAAAAACTATGCAAAACAAAATAAAATAAGCAAAGTGTGCCACTACAGAATTAAACAAAAAATAGTTAAACAAGAAATGAGAAAAAACATGTCCAAAAAAAACCATATAAAACATAACAATGAAACTGGTATGTAATTTTCTTTTTTTTTTTTTGAAATGGAGTCTCACTCTGTTGCCCAGGCTGGTGACAATGAAACTGGTATGCACTTTTCTTTTTTTTTTTGAAATGGGAAGTCTCACTCTGTTGCCCAGGCTGGTGAGCAGGGGCATGATCTCAGCACACCACAACCTGCGCCTCCGGGTTCAACTGATTCTCCCGCCTCAGCCTCCTGAGTAGCATGCCACCATGCCTGGCTAATTTTTGTAGTTTTAGTAGAGATGGGGTATCACTATGTTGACCAGGCTAGTCTTGAACTCCTTACCTTGTGATCTGCCCGCTTTGGTCTCCCAAAGTGCTGGGATTACAGGCATGAGTCACCGCGCCTGGCATTATTTATTTCTTTAAGAAATCATTTTAAATATAAATTTATTAAACTACTTAATAAAAAGAAATGTAATTCCAGGACTTTGGGAGGCCATGGTGGGCTGATTACCTGATTTCAGGAGTTTGAGACCAGCCTGGGCAACAAGGCAAAACCCTGTCTCTAATACAAAAAACAAAAAAAAAGGCGGGGTGGGGGGAACAACAACAACAACTAGTTGGGTTTAATGGCACATGCCTGTAACCCAGCTACTTAAAAGGTTGAAACTAGAGGATTATCTGAGTTTGAGAGACTGAGGCTGCAGCTCACGGCCATTATCACACCATTGCAAACCAGCCTGGTTGACAGAGTGAGACCCTATTTCATTAATTAATTAATTAATTAATTAAAAGAAAAAGAAAGAAGATGCCTGAGTGGCTTAAGAAAAAAAGCATATGGGCCGGGCGCGGTGGCTCAAGCCTGTAATCCCAGCACTTTGGGAGGCCGAGACGGGCGGATTACGAGGTCAGGAGATCGAGACCATCCTGGCTAACACGGTGAAACCCCGTCTCTACTAAAAAATACAAAAAACTAGCTGGGCGAGGTGGCGGGCGCATGTAGTCCCAGCTACTTGGGAGGCTGAGGCAGGAGAATGGCGTAAACCCAGGAGGCGGAGCTTGCAGTGAGCTGAGCCTGGGCCACAAAGCGAGACTCCGTCTCAAAAAAAAAAAAAGAAAAAAAAAAAAAGAAAAAAAGCATATGATATGTTCCTACAAGAGACCAATTTTAGTACTGAGTCAAATAGTGTGTAAGTAACAGAATGGAAAAAAAATCTGTATTTCATGCAAATAGCCACAATTGGGTGAGGCAGTCATAACTATATTAGATACAATATGCTTTAAGTCAAGTACTAGTATGAGACAAAGATTGTTATAATAGTAAAATGGGTCAATTTACCAGGGATCTATAACTATTATATTTGTATGTACAGGTAGGTATAACAAAGGGCTCCAAAATATATAAATATTGACAAAAGTGAAGCAAGAAATACATAGCAACATAATAGCTGCAGACACTGAGACCCCATTATCAATAATAAATAATAAACAGAAAATTCATGTAAAAGATTAAGAAAACAAAATGTAGATAACATTATAGATTGTAATATTTTGCATACAGAGAAATATCTGAGAGTAGATAATTTATAAAGAAAAAAGGTTTATTTGGCTCACAGTTCAGCACACTGTACAAGTAGTATGTGCCTGTATCTGTTTCTGGTGAGGTCTCAGGAAGCTTATGATCATAGTGGAAGGCGAAGAAGAACTGGACATATCACACGGTAAAAGACAGAGCAAGTGTGAGGTAAAAGAGCCAGGTTCTTTTAACATAGTTTCTCAAAATTATACAGATATTTGTGTGTCCCCAATAACAATGGAAAAGCAGTCAGATTGTGCAGTCCCTTATATGCCATGAACACGACTTTGGCTCTCATTGTAAACTTGAAGGGAAATCACCAAATGAAAATAGAATCCTTAGAGAACTTTAAAGCATAAGACAGAATATGCCTCTACATGACAGTAAAATTTTAAAAATCTCAGTTTTCTCAGAAACTACTCCCTTTGGAGGACATCTTCTCAGGTCACATTTTGAGAACTGGCTTTCTCCTTGACCTCTGGACCTCTCATCTGTGGTGTTTGTTGTATTCACTCTCACATACCTGGGGGTTTAGTTATCGTCTCATGTCTTTTCATATTCCAAGGCTCTTTCCCTTGCTTCAGACAAGCTATCAAGTCTAGCTTAGAGACAGCAATACCTGTTACATTAAAAATAAATAACATAAATATTGCTCATATTCCACAAATAATGTGCTCATTAAAGAGAATGTGATAGAATATTCTAGTAAATTGATCCCCCAATACTAATTTATAACATACATTTCTAAATATTTAGAAAATATTTTCAATTTGTACAGTCTCTTAATTTTACTACCCGGTACTACTGAATCAAAAATTGGTGGTGGCAATGAGATTTTAAGGTGTGGGCAACTGTATTTTATGCCACTAAATTTCTGCAATTTTCACTAATCTAGAGTGAAAAATATCTGCTCAGAAATGTTCAGGTAAAATGAAACATCTTTAAAAAATTCCTCTTGGCCGGGTGTGGTGGCTACACCTGTAATCTCAGCACTTTGGGAGGCCAAGGCGGGCGGATCACAAGGTCAACAGATCAAGACCATCCTGGCCAACATGGTGAAACCTTGTCTCTACCACAAATACAAAAAAAATTAGCCAGGTGTGGTGGCGCATGCCTGTAGTCCCAGCTACTCGGGAGGCTGAGGCAGAAGAATCGATTGAACCTGGGAGGCAGAGGTTGCAGTGAGCCAAGATTGCACCACTGTACTCCAGCCTAGGCAACAAGAGTGAAACTCCTCAAAAAAAAAAAAATTTCTTTCTACACTTACAAATTCCTGTTTTCAGAAAACTCATTTATGGTAAGCATAAATCACCAAAACATATTCTACAGAAAAGAGAAATGAAACCTACAGAATATAATAGGAATTGTTTAATTAAAATTATCCTCACCCAGGAAGACCAGGTTTCTGTAGTTCTCTAACATAACATCCCTATATAAAGTCTGCTGAGCCGTGTCCAGGCACTGCCATTCCTCCAGAGAGAATTCTATGGTCACATCCTGAAATGTCAACGGTCCCTGAAAAACACAACGAAAGACACACATATATTTCCCAAGTGGCCATGGGCAGAATTTTTCAATTGACTCAAGAAGAAATGATAGAATAAAGAGAATAGGTTCTAACTTATAGGGATGACCGAACGCATCCACTAAAATAATTTTCAACACAGAAATATTCTCTAATGTATTCTCAAATTCTGAGAAAAAAGAATGGCATAAGATCCACAACACCAGTGTAGATAACATACTTTTCTGGATAATAAAGTATAAAATTAAGGGCATGATAACAAACATGTATATTTTTTAGTGCTATATTTACATGATACAGAAGAAGTCTTGTATATTTTTCAGATCAAAAAGACATGCTGAGTTAGAAGACACCTCTCAAATTTTAATGTGTACAATTAACTGGAGATCTTGTTATGCATATTTATTTCAGAAGATCTAGAATAAAGTCTGAGTTTCTGAATTTCTGACAAGCTCACCAGTAATGCCTGTTTTTGGCCCAAAAAAGAATCTTTTCTCAAACACTCACCAAGTAGAGGAGCCTGTTTTTCCCAGTTTTTCTGGCCTGTGAACAAAGATGAGAGACCTCGCTTTCCAAAGATAGATATATGCAAAGAAAATCTAAGAAAGAAAGGTAGGTGCCAGATTAAATGTGATCACTGGTGCACATCAGCTGCATAAAGACACTAAAAAGGCTGGGCACAGTAGCTCATTTCTGTAATCCCAGCACTTTGGGAGGCTGAGGTGGGAGGATCACGAGGCCAGGAGTTCAAGACCAGCCAGGCCAACATGGTGAAACCCCATCTCTACCAATAGTACAAAAATCAGCCAGCCATGGTGGTGCACACCTGTCGACTCAGCTATTCCAGAGGCTGAGGCAAGAGAATCGCTTGAACTCAGGAGGTGGAGGCTGCAGTGAGCTGAGATCGCGCCACTGCACTCCAGCCTGGGTGACAGACTGAGACTCCGTCTCAAACGACAACAAAAAAAGATATTTAATAAATAATGAAGAGAAAACTAATTTATAGTGAAAAAATCTGTCGGAGAGCTCTTTAACCAAGTGAATCATTAACATCAACTGTACTAGGACAAATTTATTTATTTATTTTATATTATACTTTAAGTTCTACGGTACATGTGCACAACGTGCAGGTTTGTTACGTATGTATACATGTGCCATGTTGGTGTGCTGCACCCATTAACTCGTCATTTACATTAGGTGTATCTCCTAATGCTCTCTCTCCCCTCCCCCCACTCCACAACAGGCCCCAGTGTGTGATGATCCCCTTCCAGTGTCCAAGTGTTCTCATTGTTCAATTCCCACCTGAGTGAGAACATGAGGTGTTTGGGTTTTTTGTCCTTGCAATAGTTTGCTTAGAATAATGGTTTCCAGCTTCATTCATGTCTCTACAAAGGACAGGAACTCATCCTTTTTTATGGCTGCGTAGTATTCCATGGTGTATATGTGCCACATTTTCTTAATCCAGTCTATCATTGATGGACATGTGGGTTGGTTCCAAGTCTTTGCTTAAACAAGTGCCGCAATAAACATATGTGTTCATGTGTTTTTATAGCAGCATGATTTATAATTCTTTGGGTATACACCCAGTAAAGGGATGGCTGGGTCAAACGGTATTTCTAGTTCTAGATCCTTGAGGAATCGCCACAGTCTTCCACAATGGTTGAACTAGTTTACAGTCCCACCAGCAGCGTAAAAATGTTCCTATTTCTCCACATCCTCTCCAGCATCTGTTGTTTCCTGGCGTTTTAATGATCGCCATTCTAACTGGTGTGAGATGGTATCTCATTGGGGTTTGATTGTCATTTCTCTGCTGGCCGGTGATGATGAGCATTTTTTCATGTGTCTGTTGGCTGCATAAATGTCTTCTTTCGAGATGTCTCTGTTCATATCCTTTGCCCACTTTTTGATGGGGTTGTTTTTTTCTTGTAAATGTGTTTGAGTTCTTTGTGCAGATTCTGGATACTAGCCCTTTGTCAGGTGAGTAGATTGCAAAAATTTTTCCCATTCCGTAGGTTGCCTGCTCACTCTGATGGTAGTTTATTTTGCTGTGCATAAGCTCTTTAGTTTAATTAGATCCCATTTGTCAATTTTGGCTTTTGTTGCCATTGCTTTTGGTGTTTTAGACATGAAGTCCTTGCCCATGCCTATGTCCTGAATGGCATTGCCTAGGGTTTTCATGGTATTAGGTCTAACATTTAAGTCTTTAATCCATCTTGAATTAATTTTTGTATAAGGCGTAAGGAAGGGATCCAGTTTCAGCTCTCTACATATGGCTAGCCAGTTTTCCCAGCACCATTTATTAAACAGGGAATCCTTTCCCCATTTCTTGTTTTTGTCAGGTTTGTCAAAGATCAGATGGTTGTAGATGTGTGGTATTATTTCTGAGGGCTCTGTTCTGTTCCATTGGTCTATATCTCTGTTTTGGTACCAGTACCATGCTGTTTTGGTTACTGTAGTCTTATAGTATAGTTTGAAGTTAGGTAGCATGATGCCTCCAGCTTTGTTCTTTTGGCTTAGGATTGACTTAGCAATGTGGGTTCTTTTTTGGTTCCATATGAACTTCAAAGTAGTTTTTTCCAATTCTATGAAGAAAGTCATTGGTAGCTTGATGGGGATGGGATTGAATCTATAAATTACCTTGGGCAGTATGGCCATTTTCACGATATTGCTTCTTCCTATCCATGAGCATGTAATGTTTTTCCATTTGTTTGTGTCCTCTTTTATTTCGTTGAGCAGTGGTTTGTAGTTCTCCTTGAAGAGGTGACAGGGAGAATGGAACAAAGTTGGAAAACTCTGCAGGATATTATCCAGGAGAACTTCCCTGACCTAGCAAGGCAGGCCAACATTCAAATTCAGGAAATACAGAGAATGCTACAAAGATATTCCTCGAGAAGAGCAACTCCAAGACACATAATTGTCAGATCCACCAAAGTTGAAATGAAGGAAAAAATATTAAGGGCAGCCAGAGAGAAAGGTCGAGTTACCTACAAAGGGAAGCCCATCACACTAACAGCGGATCTCTCGGCACAAACTCTACAAGTCAGAAGAGAGTGCGGGCCAATATTCAACATTCTTAAAGAAAAGAATTTTCAACCCAGAATTTCATATCCAGCCAAACTAAGTTTCAAAAGTGAAGGAGAAATAAAATCCTTTACAGACAAGCAAATGCTGAGAGATTTTGTCACCACCAGGCCTGCCCTACGAGAGCTCCTGAAGGAAGCACTAAACATGGAAAGGAAAAACTGGTATCAGCCACTGCAAAAACATGCCAAATTGTAAAGACCATCAATGCTAGGAAGAAACTGCGTCAACTAATGAGCAAAATAACCAGCTAACATAATAGTGACAGGATCAAATTCACATATAACAATATTAACCTTAAATGTAAACAGGCTAAATGCTCCAATTAAAAGACGCAGGCTGGCAAATTAGATAAAGAGTCAAGGCCCATCAGTATGCTGTATTCAGGAGACCCATCTCACGTGCAGAGACACACATAGGCTCAAAATAAAGGGAGAGAGGAAGATCTACCAAGCGAATGGAAAACAAAAAAAAGCAGGGGTTGCAATCCTAGTCTCTGATAAAACAGACTTTAAACCAACAAAGATCAAAAGAGACAAAGAAGGCCATTACATAATGTAAAGGGATCAATTCAACAAGAAGAGCTAACTTTCCTAAATACATATGCACCCAATACAGGAGCACCCAGATTCAGAAAGCAAGTCCTTAGACACCTACAAAGAGACTTAGACTCCCCTACAATAGTAATGGGAGACTTTAACACCCCACTGTCAACATTAGACAGATCAACAAGAAAGAAAATTAACAAGGATATCTAGGAATTGAGAACTCAGCTCTGCACCAAGTGGACCTAATAGACATCTACGGAACTCTTCACCCGAAATCAACAGAATATGCATTCTTCTCAGCATCACATCGCACTTATTCCAAAACTGTCCACATAGTTGGAAGTAAAGAACTCCTCAGCAAATGTAAAAGAACAGAAATTATAACAAACTGTCTCTCAGACCACAGTGCAATCAAACTAGAACTCAGGATTAAGAAACTCACTCTAAACCACTCAACTACATGGAAACTGAACAACCTGCTCCTGAATGACTACTGGGTACATAAGGAAATGAAGGCAGATATAAAGATGTTTTTTGAAACCAATAAGAACAAAGACACAACATACTAGAATCTCTGGGACACATTTAAAGCAGTGTGTACAGGGAAATTTATAACACTAAATGCCCACAAGAGAAAGCAGGAAAGATCTAAAATTGACACCCTAACATCACAATTAAACTAGAGAAGCAAGAGCGAACACATTCAAAAGCTAGCAGAAGGCAAGAAATAACTAAGATCAGAGCAGAATTGAAGGAGATACAGACACAAAAAGCCCTTCAAAAAAAAAAAAAAATCAATGAATCCAGGAGCTGGTTTTTTGAAAAGATCAACAAAATTGATAGACCGCTAGCAAGACTAATAAAGAAGAAAAGTGAGAAGAACAAATAGATGCAATAAAAAATGATAAACGGGATATCTCCACCGATCCCACAGAAATACAAACTAACATCAGAAAATACTATAAACACCTCTACACAAATTAACTAGAAAACCTACAAGAAATGGATAAATTCCTGGACACATACACCCTCCCAAGACTAAACCAGAAAGAAGCTGAATCTCTGAATAGACCAATAACAGGCTCTGAAATTGAGGCAACAATTACCAACCAAAAAAAAGTCCAGGACCAGAGGGATTCACAGCCGAATTCTACCAGAGGTACAAGGAGGAGCTGGTACCATTCCTTCTGAAACTATTCCAATCAATAGAAAAAGAGGGAATCCTCCCTAACTCATTTTATGAGGCCAGCATCATCCTGATACCAAAGCCTGGCAAAGACGCAGCAGAAAAAACAGAATTTTAGACCAATATCCCTGATGAACACTGATGCAAAAATCCTCAATAAAATACTGGCAAACCGAATCCAGCAGCACATCAAAAAGCTTATCCACCATGATCAAGTGGGCTTCATCCCTGGGATGCAAGGTTGCTTCAACATACGCAAATCAATAAACGTGATCCAGCATATAAACAGAACCAAAGACAAAAACCACATGATTATTTCAATAGACGCAGAAAAGTCCTTTGACAAAATTCAACAGCCCTTCATGACAAATTTTTATGATGTGCTGATGCACACAGGACACATGGTCACTGCTGTGCATAACAAGATCTCCACTTACTTGTACACACTAAAATTTGAGAGGTGTCTTCTAACTCAACATGTCTGTGATATTGCCCCCTCAAAAGTATAGTCTGAATTTAGC